TTTGAGAGGAATCTACTTGATGAGTCTGTTTTTTTAGCCACAGTATTGATTGCTTTAAGTATTAAAGTGATCCATCGTTGTGAACGCAATTTTAACAATATTAATAATGATGCATAATGATGTCCAGTATAATATGAGTTAAAAGGAGCACTTTTGTGGTTTTGTGTCGATGAAGAGGTACTGCGAGTCTTTTTGAATGGCACTTGATGTCTTACTGAAGGGTTGTGGGATACTTATGGTTGGAAAACATTGATCTGAACTAGTGATTATCTTTAATTTATCCAGCTCTATGAACTACTATTTTGAAAGGCAAGGCTTTTCTGCAGTCTGTGTGGAAGAGAACATTAAGATATTTTATAAGTTGATTTTAGGCGTTTAAAGGGGTATTTCACCCTAAAATTACAATTTACTTACTGTTTAATCACACTCAAGTAATTTCAAACATTTATGAATTTCTTTATTTTGTTGAACACTAAAAAATAAATTTAGAAAAATTCTTAAAACTTGTTGCATTCAGCATCCATGGAAGGTAAGATAAATACTATGGAGGTCATTGGTTTTTAGCTATTTCCAAAATATTTATTTTGTGTTCAACAGAGAAAAGAAAGTCAATCAGGTTGGAAACAAGTGAAGGGTGAGTAAACGACCAAATTTTCAGTTTTGAGTGAACTATCCATTAAGGGCGTACTCACACTAGGTACAGTTGACTTGAATCGTGCTGCCATTGCTTTAGTTATATCGTTTTGTGCTATTTTTAGTCATTTGGAATTGACTGGGTGCGATTCGAACCATTCACACTTGTCAAACAAACCAGGAAATGTGCCCAGGCAGGGTTCGCATAGCCTAGTGTGAGTGAACCCTAAGGTTTACAGCAGACAAGAAAAAAAACTGAAAATAACTACAAGTCAGGACTTAATAATTCTGCTGTTTTTCAGACATCACATAGCAATACCTCTTAAAATCTTCCGGTAATATTTAACATTTTTTGTCTATTAATATCAGGCAAATTTGAAAAGATGGTAATTGGATGATCCTTCAATTACGTCTTACTATGAGGCATAAATATATTCTCAGCTATTTCACTGTTATAGATCCTGATCGAGAGTTCTCTGTTGACTCATCAAGTCGTGTAATAATCTACTTGGTTTTTCGCTTCCTGAAGGTTCGAAGCAATCTACCCCCACCCATCTTTTCCTCTCCTTATCTTTTCTCTCCCTCTCTGTCGTCTTTTTTGTCAGACATATTTTTGTGGTGGGCCTGCCAGAGTGCAGCTCTGCTCTTACTGGAAGTGCACTTACTGGCACTTTCCTCACCTCCCTCCCTACCCGAATGAGTGTGCGGCTGACAGTCTCATTTTCAGTACAACTCTGATTGACTCTGAGGGCTATGAGATTTAATATCTTCCTTTTGTCAGACTTGTGTAACTGCACTTCCATTTATCACCATCTTCATTCTCGTTATGTATACCCTCAATCTCCTACTGAAAAGATGTTTAGACTCGCATTAAAGCCACTCCTGAATAAAACAAAGATGCTGCAGGTGCCGTTCTCAGAAATGCACCGTTACAGTTGTGCCGAGACATCCAGATGTGCATCGATCCTGTGAGGACGCAGCAGTGTGTGTAAATTGTATACTGTGCATGCTCCATAAGGCTGTGGAGCTGCCTGCCTGAAGACAAAGGAAATGCATGCTGCTGATGAGGCGTAGTCTCCTGCTTTTCTCTCGCCTTCTGCGTTTGCATGTGTGGGCAAATATACAGCCTTCTGCAACCCACGTGTATCCTTTATAAAAGGAATCATTTTTGTTTTAACATTACAAAAGGCAGGAACACTCCATTGCTATGCCTATATCTTGTAGGCGAAAAGGTGGTCACCTTAAATGATGGACAAAAAGAAAGAGGATCTACCAGAGCAAAATGGCGCAGAATCAGGCAATGCATCTGGTCTTTTTGCTGTAATTCCCACTTCCGCTTCCATCTTTCCTGCACCATGCCTTTGCATCAAAGTGCGTTATCTAATATACGCACAACAGTTGGTGCAGGATAAGTGTAAATAGCTCTACATGTGGAGTCTGATCTCTGGTCAGTGCACTCTGTTCATTAACTAAACATGACTCTTAAGAGGATTATTAGCCCAGTTTCTGGACAGGATGTCGAAAGCCATCAGGAGAGTGTATGTGGGGGGGGAATCCATTACCATAATTGCACTGCGCTAGCAGAAGAGGAAAAAGGAAGGATGCCGAGATGTTTAAAAAAAGGAAGAAATGAGTGAGAGTGAAAGAGGAGGCTGGCAGGGATGCTGGAGGAGAGATGAGGAGGAGGGGTGGGTAGCTGATGGTGAACAGGCACACGGATCAGGTTGAATAATGACTTCTCTTCAGTTTCCCCCCTGTGTCTCTGGGATGACTTGGTACGCTCCGCCTCCGACAATAAAGCAGCCCACAGTAACCCTGCTCGTGGCTCATATCTAGGTTCAGACCACTGGGCCGACTGAGGTAAAGAAGAGTGCATGTGGCAGACACAGTCTGGGCCTCTGGTGAAGAAGGTCAGAAACGCCCTAGAAATGCACTGGCCTGGTTCTGCAGAACAAGGAAGATGGAGAGGGTACATGCAGAGGACCGGCTCACTGCTCCCAGACACTTCCACATCTCAGCAACACTTTCCAGCAGGTTAAACCAGAGCATGAGTGAGTATCACCTACACGTACATTCATGCTCGCTACAGAGCATATACCTTGGTCAGTCGATTTTAACAGGAAGATGAGACTGCCGCCTTCTCCGAAGGGACACTGAAGATGGCGAGGAGGAGGATGAGGATGAAGGCTTGTCTGTCACAGGAAGTGGTGGGGTTAGGGTGGGGTTCCTTCACTCCATCTCATTGTTCAAAAGTAAAGGAAAGGAAAGAAAAAAGAGACGGATATAGATATAGAAAGGGATGTTTTAGCTTAAATCGATTGCTGTGGTGTCGGATAGAGAAAGAATGCGTGCCTTTTGTCCAGCTTGTGCATTCGATGCAATCCATGTCAAATTTCTGCTATGTGTTCCTGCTTATTTTCACTATACCTCTCAAACTGTGAGGGTCATTGTCAGTGCATTGCATAATTTCTGATGTTAAAATGTATACACAGCCTCAAAGTGCGTATTTTATGAAAATGTATGAATTCCATATGTTGCATTTAGGACAATGTCTTTACTGAATATGTGTGTGCTTAATTTATCCGAATCAAATAGAATTTTCCAGAAATTCATGTCGTAGAATTGTATGGTGTACGGTAAACTGCGCTTTTATCCTAAGTGATATGCAAATTGTTTTTATGGCAGCCTTTGGTCACATTTTTTTTTAGCATGGTTAGATTGCTGAAATTTTACCTCTGAAGACATCTAATCATTGTACAGTGCGAATTCCACATCCAGTTTCTTCTAAGAACTATTTCCATTCGACATGGCTAACAGTGTTTTGAAAAGCCATCTGCGATGGCATTCTTCACCATATGTAGTAAGCATACTCTCGAGTGAGGCATGACCCAAGAGCATCCATGTAAAATGTGCTTCATTTGTGGGTACTTCATGAAAAGCGCTGATGCCTAAAGGGGGCGCTGTTCTGTAGCTAGCATTTGGAGGAGCTGTGACTGAGCAAGAAATAGTGCTGGAAAGTACAAAATGTTGGCTGCTTCCACACCTTAACCCCCCCCCTTATCCACTTACCGTCGCTCCATCAGATCGCCTTATTCAGATGTGTCACTTCCCCAAATCAGAATAAATCAATCTTCATCTACAGCTGTCAGTCAGAGTGTGGATGGGTTGATGGGGGTCGTGCGATCCTGATGAGGGGGGAGGATTGAAGCGTGGAGTCATTCGAGGGGGAGGGGACGGCATGATTCAACTCAGTCCTGGAGACTTGGTTAAGAAAAGGGTGTGAATGGAAAATGGTCGACGCCTGTATTTCTAAAATCTTAACAGTTTTAATGATATAGTCACTAAAGCATCTCAAATGACTTTTCAGTGGTCCATGGTGTTTTAATGACATGATTATATTCAAACCTGGAAAAATTTGTTTGAGGCGTTTTAATACTCCATTCATGTTACAACAATAAAAACAGATGATTGCAGATTCCAGCTCAGAGGTTGTGTTTCTCTCCATCGTTCAATATCGGCTTTTCAGCGATCTAATGATTCTCTAAACCCATCAGAACCAGCTTCCTTTTCCATCAATACCACTCCCTAACTCAACCCCCACTCGATGTGTGTGTTACACGTCGTTCTAGTGACTTCTCTGTCCTTAGAATCAGCTGCTGGATCTATTTGCTGTGTGTTTAATCAAAATGAATGCGGGTGTGTGAATGTTTGCTACCCAGCTGCACATCAAATACGAGTGCATCCATACAGGTTGCTCAAGCTGCGCATTCGACATCCAGTCAGAAAACGTAGCTTGAATATCTGTGCTAAGCTACTGATGTGTGCTTTTTCCATCTGTGATCCAAAAAAGACGACATTTTAGATGATGATGGCCCATAAATACACATAAGCATCTGTTGGGTATATGATTTGCATTGGGGAACATTCTAGTTTGGGTTAAGTCTGGTTTTTAACTTGCAGTTATATAGGCAGTGGTCCGAAAGGTGTTTGATTGATGCAAACGAATTACTTTGAACCACATTTTCCAAATGAAATTCTGTGCGTTAGATGCTAGATGTCTTGAATGTGCAGTACTTTTAGTTCACTCTAGAATGTAGGGAACCAAAGCTTTGCTGAACCAGCTCTGACCAGCCGAGAGCCGCCATTTTGGGGCGAGCAATCTCACACAGGGTCGATCCTAAACACATTTTTAACAATGATTTTGATAATGATGGCAATTCTCCATCTCTGGCCTGTGGCGCCTTGCATCTTGGAGGAAGTATGGAGGGAAGGAGAGAGAAAGGGAGAGAGGGCGTGTGCTCTGCATGCAGAAAAGGGGAAAGTAGGTTGCAGTGCGTTTAACCTCCATGCCGTGTCTCTTGTTCCAGGGCTTTCTGAAGAACGAGAGAGACAATGCACTGCTGTCAGCTATCGAGGAATCACGCCGCAGGGTAAGTGTCTTCCTTTACCTCACTATACCATTTTACATCCATTTATTTGCTCAATCGATCAAACAGCGTCTTGCCACAAAACACAGGAAATTTTATGAGTTTTTACCAATATTATATCTTACTTTAATGCAATACATATTGCATAGACATCATCATGTGCGCTATTTACCTGGTAGCTCCTTTAAAATTGCTAGAGGTTTTTGCTTATTCGGTTTCAGGTCAAATCCCCTTTTTTCCCTTATTGCCTCTTAAGCCCCTGTCAGCAAGGTAAAAACAGGCCTTTTCACCTGTTATTATCCATCTCTCAGCAGCAGAAAGCTGCCCTCTGCCAGGTCAATATCCCATCCATCTCTTCTCAGTCTAGTCATCAAACCTCTCAGGAGGAGGAATGTCAGCAAAGAGATGGACAGAGGATAATTTGCTCACCAAAGGAGAGGTGTTACTCTCACACACACAGATGGCCTGTGTGTGACAACTTAGTTTTGGTGAATTTTTTTTGTGTGTGTCATCTAGCACCACAGTGGAATTTATGTCCATCACAGTCATGCTCAAAATCAAATTTTGAGTGTTTTTATTATATAAATACTAATATACATTTTTTATTTTAATATTTTTTTTTCTCACAGGCAATCAAACTTTTGTTTGATTTATATTTATTTAAAAATATTATTTATGAAAATAAAACATTCACTATCCAAAACTGGATCAGGAGGCAACTTATTTTAACTATTTTGGCCTATTGTGAGGAATATTACACTTTTAATTTAAAAATCTATTACAATTTTCATTTTTTTGTTTTAATTTAGCAGCGCATTCATACCACTATTTTTTGCACCTATAGAGTCAGTAAAGGACCACAGACACCTGCATCGTGCGGTATCCAGTTTTCTAAAAACTACACTCTTCCAGCAGTTCATACTCGCATCCAAGATCTTCCTAAATGAAAGTGAAAGTGTTAAACTGCAGTTAAGGTCGACAAATTAAAAAATGAAACACCTGAAATTACATGAAACTCCAGAGAACAATGTGTATAGTGTAGTGATGCAGTGACGTTAATCCAACTATGTGCTTTAACATGTAAAACGAGATCATGAAACGAACATTCTAAAAGTTACTCATCTAAACACCTTAATCATATTGTTGTCTTATTCAGATTAAGGCAAATAATTTGATTACTGATGTCCATGTAAGCGTAGTCATTGATTGTTAAAATTGCACATAAATGTGTAGTTCCTAATAAAGTAACCATCAAAATATTGAGCAATTAAATAACTATACACCATACTCATTTACTAATGTTAGTTAGTTAAGACACCAAGTTTAAATGAAGTACATTCCAGCATTACTACCAGTTCTACTGGTACTAGTTCCTTAACCGTTATCAAAGCTGTACGGTATTGTTTTGCCTCTAACTCAAAAAGCCTCTTTTCCTCTGTGGATTTTTACCTGATTCACATTAACTTCAATATGCCCCGCTGATATTATCTCCCTCATTCCATCATTATTGCGCTCGATTCCAAAATCTCTTCCTCCAGAGTTCACAAGCCCTTTTTAATTAGAGCGCTCTCAATTATCACACGTTGATCCGCCGGGAACGAGTAAAATAGACGAAAGGTCTTCGGATTCAATCAGGGTACGGGCTAAATCGGTAGTAGGCGTGAAGACAGACCCAGATAGCGGCACAGTTCCATTAGCGAAGGCCTCCACACATCCAGGCTTTAGCGGGCCAGACCCAGTTTGAGTCTCCCCAGGCCCAGCTCTCGTTCCTTGTCCCTGGGAGGTGGGATTGGGGGAGGGGGCGAAGATAGCGGTGCCCGTTAGCGCTTATTGTGCACAGCACGATTTCCAGATCCAGGCTGCTCCCTCTTACTCCGCTAGCTATTTTTAATGCGTCACATGTTGAGTAACCTATATATTCACTGATGGCTTTGTAGTTTCACTTGCTTTACTCTGTTTTATCACATGCGGTCTGTTTGTCTTATGTGTGATTGGTGCTCTGTTACACTCATTCTGTCTCTCTCGCAGACGTTTTTGCTGGCGGAGGAGTACCACCGAGACTCTATGTTGGTGCAGTGGGAGCAGGTGAAGCAGAGAGTGTTGCACACCCTGCTGGGAGCTGGAGAAGATGCACTGGACTTCAGCCAGGAAGTGGAGGTCTGAGGAACAACACGTGAATATGTACACACAGGGTGTAATGATGGAGCTCTTTTGTGTTGTAGTTAATAGCACACACTTCCCTCGCTTCACACGTGATGTGTCCGTGAAGCACAAACGCTCTTGTTTAGCATCCGAAGAGCTTGTTCAGATCTGTTGGCGTGATAGGAACAGCCTGTGGCTACATTTGGCCTGGATCTGGAGCGCTAGTGAAATCTTATCTGGCAAGAGCTCTTCTTGTAGCCCTTTTCAAAACATTGTCTATTAGTAATAATAATTAGAGTAATAATAAAATTATATTATATATATTATATTATATTATATTATATTATATTATATTATATTATGTTATGTTATATTATATTATATTATATTATATCATATTTATATTATATTATATTATATAACTCAGTGCTCAGTGTAATTGAGTACAAACCATTTTGAAAGTGAATGTTTTTATCCATGCATTTTGGTGCATTTAAACAAAACAGATTTATTAAACTGTTATATTTATTAAATTATATTTTAGTCACCAAACACATTTAGAAATTAAAAGATAATACAATGAAATTCATATTCATAAAATATTGCAAAAAAAAATACAACCTACAAAATATCACCAAAATTTTTCACATTTTTTTGCTTCTCTTGATTTTCCCTCTTTTTAAGATTTGTATTTAATATTTTTCTATAACATATTAATTTGGGTGTACTAGTTTTTGGACTGTTATTATAAGTTATTTTGTTATTTAAACTCCAGATTTTACTTCAGGACTGACTAATTTATATGCACAAATATAATATTCTATAGATTCCTATTAAAAATATGATTTTAAAATGTCTTAAATTTCAAAAATGATAGTTTAAACGTCTTAAATTCACTGAAATATGGTGTTGTAGATCTTAAATACAAATTTTCTTAATTCTTTTAAATACTAAGTAAAACTTACTATTCAAATATGGTTTAATTATCTTCCTTACAATCACATTTGTTGAAAAGTTCTTGAAAAGTGAAAAGTTTATTATATATATTTTTTGAAAAATGTGGTTAAGAAATAACAGAATTTTGATAAAGTAAAAAAAAAAATCACTAGCCATTACAAAAAACCTTAGCATTCTCCCCTGTGAAAGTCTGACATTTCATTCATAACGGTCTTAAAAAGGTCTTAAATTTGACTTGATGAAACCTGTAGAAACCCTATATTATATTATATTATATTATATTATATTATATTATATTATATTATATTATATTATATTTTATTATATTATATTATATTATATTATATTATATTATATTATTCATTCATTATTCATTTTCTTTTCAGCTTAGTCCCTGTATTAATCTGGGGTTGCCGCAGCAGAATGAACCGCCAACTTATTCAGCATATGTTTTTCACAGCGGATGCCCTTCCAGCTGCAACCTATCACTAGGAATCACCCATACACTCTCATTCACACACACATACACTACGGCCAATTTAGCTTACTCAATTCACCTATACCGCATGTCTTAAAACTTGTGGGGGAAACCGGAGCAGCCAAGGTAAACCCACGCCAACACGAGGAGAACATGCAAACTTCACACAGAAATGCCAACTGACCCTACCAAGGCTCCAACCAGCGACCTTCTTGGTGTGAGGCGACATTACTACCCACTGCGCAACCGCATCGCCTATATTTAGGCCCACAAGGAATCTGCGCGCGCAGAATTCCGCAGATTTCTGCAGATTTTTAGCCCATTATTAATTCTGGTTATTTACTTGAGTAAATGTGTAAATCTGAATTTATTCAGTTTTTATTCAGTAATTTATTACTTTTTACTTAATATATTAAGGTTTTAGTTATGATACTACGCTGGATACTCCCAAAATAATTCCACAGAAATCCGCAGATTTTTACCAAAATTCTCAGCAGATATAGCAAAAAAACGTCCGCAGATTCCATCTGGTCCTTCCTATATTATATTATATTATATTATATAATATTATATTATATTATATTGTATTATATTATATTATATTATATTATATTATATTATATTATATCATATTATATTAAAGCAGCCAGTCGTGTGACTGTAAAATAAAATGACATTGTCTGCTTTTGAAGGGCATTTCTCATAAATAAAGATTTTTAATATATAATAAAGACTTCTGGCAGCACTGCTCACCTCCTCGTTGTCAAAAGAATGGAGAAAGGAGTAAGAGGGAAGGATGTAGAAAAACATCAAACATTGAAGATGACAAGCACTCCTCTTCTGATTAATATATACCCCCAAAAAACGCAGACACGCATGTTTCACTTTTTATGTCCTCAAGTGGAACAATAGTCTGTCTATGACAAACAATGACAGTCTTTTGGAGAAGATGAAACCTCAGAATATGCTTTTGTCTTTTTTCCTTCTTTTGTCTTATAAAGCATTCAAGAAGAACATGTACGAGTAGAGTTAGTCACAAATGCATGCAAGTTTGTGTGCTCCAGGAGATTTTTGACTGCTGTCCTGCTGCTTTAATTATTAAACAGCAGTTAAATTTTCCATGTGTGACCTGCTGTTCGCTTCCTATGCCAGGAGCTCACTCTTCCTTGTAGCACCAGCCTGGGTCAACCCCCTCCCCGATACACAGTCACTACAACGCCTCAGTGAATTTTTAGCCAGGCTGTTCATGGAATTTGCTGCTTGGAAGTGTGTATGTGTGTGTGTTTCGAAATAATTTCAATCAAAGCACCGTATGTTTTATGGATGTTAGATTTAGTGAGCGCGTTTAGATGCACATTCTTAACCCAATTGTGCTTAATAAGCCGACAGTGCACGTGGTCAAGTAAATGTGTTAACCCATTTTGCTTTATGCTTTTTATAAATGGGTTAAACATAAACTGATCATCGCAGCTAAAATTGTGGCCCTCACACCGATTTCATCCAGTATGTCAGTTGTAGTGTGAATGTGTGATAAGTGACCGGAACACCTCTTCACTGCGCATTTAAGCAGGTATACTGTAGGCAGAGCAAATGTTTTGCAGCAAGACCCAAGTGTGTTCTTTTCTCATGCAACAGAAGTGGTACAATTAAAATTCTGCATCTTTAGAGGATCATATATTTGGTTTTTGAGGATTTATTAAACATGACAGTCACAAATACTTGAAATTGGATAGAAATGAACAGATTTAAACATAAAGTTTGTTTTATTTGCACGTAAATTGTAAAATAAGCATGTTTTTTGTAGGTTATCAGCGTACAAATGTGCTCACTCTTTATTTATATTTCTTTAAAAATGAATTTATTCTAATCCACAAGGAAAATGTGTGGGTTTTGTGTTTTCCTCTGTGTGTGTTCACAGTCCTGAGCAGTGTGCTCTCATGCGCGAGTTATGTTCTTCACAATAGCTTCACGCTACATTGGTCACTGCGTTTAGATTACTCTGCGAGATAAACTCTCCGAGATAAACGCAGCTTGTGCACTTGTCAAACCCACGCTTTTAGAGACTCGCATATATACACACCTACACATGTGGAGAATATTAATACAGCCTGCTCGTGTAGATATGCTTGTTTGAGCCTTAACGACTGTTGCTATGTGCCCAACAGCCCAGTTTCGTGAGCGAGGTCGGAGTTCCTGGACGCAGTGCGCTGGACAGTGTGGAAGTGGCCTATAGCCGACAGGTTTGTAGAAAGACATTCATGTATAGCATAAACATAAATGCGCATAAATGCATAAACACACATGCAGAACCATGTGTAAAAAAAGAAATGAAAATTATAGAAGAAATATATAATCTTTAAAAAATTCATGTTAAAAATGTATGTTATTTATAAATAGTCTAAATAAAATCAAAACATGAAGCATGAATCCCATCATCTCTATCTATCTATATATTTGTCTATCCATCTATCTGTGTATCTGTATATCTATATTTATCTCTATCTATCTATCTATCTATCTATCTATCTATCTATCTATCTATCTATCTATCTATCTATCTATCTATCTATCTATCTATCTATCTATCTATCTGTCTATCCATCTATCTATCATCTATCTATCTATCTATCTATCTATCTATCTATCTATCTATCTATCTATCTATCTATCTATCTATCTATCTATCTATCTATCTATCTATCTATCTATCCGTCTATCCATCCATCTGTCTATCCGTCTATCTATCTATCTATCTATCTATCTATCTATCTATCTATCTATCTATCTATCTATCTATCTATCTATCTATCTATCTATCTATCTATCTATCTATCTATCTATATCTATCTGTCTATCCATCCATCCATCCATCCGTCTATCCGTCTATCCATCTATCCATCCATCTATCCATCTATCTATCTGTCTATCCGTCTATCTGTCTGTCTGTCTGTCTGTCTGTCTGTCTGTCTATCTATCTATCTATCTGTCTGTCTGTCTGTCTGTCTGTCTGTGTGTGTGTGTGTGTGTGTGTGTGTGTGTGTGTGTGTGTGTGTGTGTGTGTGTGTGTGTGTGTGTGTGTGTATTGATATCAATGGTCACATCGCATAGATATGCAATATTAAGTTTGGATTTTATTTGAGGAAGAGTCACAGTTCAGAACATGAGATTTGTGGAATTACTGCAGAGTTTAAACATAATGGAGTGAAATTGTATCATTTGTATGATTTTAAGACCTGAGAGAGTTATTTAGTTATTTAGGCACAAGACATTATACCAATTAGAAGTTTATAAAGAATAATTGTATTAAATTATTTAGACATCAAAAACTGTGCAGCGTAATTTTAACATTTACAAAACCTAAGCCAATACCTAAGGGACCCTAATGTATGTTAATAAGCAACAAATTAGAAGTTTATTGAAGCAAAAGCCATAGTTAATGGATGGCCAATTGTGGGAAGTGAGCCTTAAAATAAAGTGCGACTATGAATTCTTTCCAACCAGTGCTATTCAATCATTTGGTGAAATTGTGTAGATGCATTTTATTACAATATATCTAGCAGAAAAATAAAATATTGCAATGTCAGATTTTTCCAATATTATGTAGCCCTAATATTTAAGCAAAACAAATATAACAATTTTACTCAAACCCATGCCTAATGAATCTAGTAAATCCAAGGATGCTGAGTATTTTTTGGGTGGAAATAAATTAATCTATGCCCAATACATTTTATTAAATTCATTATTTTTAACTTATTTTTTAAATAGCACTATAGAAATATATTGCAATAATTTATAAATTGAGTTATAAATCAATATTATAGAATGAGCCAGCAGTGCAATAATTTATATTAGAAAATATATCTTGGTATTCCTATTTAAACATTAAAAAGAGAAGGAATAAAGACTCAAAATAAGCAGAAGTATAATCACTAGTGATAAAACATGAAATCCTGATTATATTTTTTACTAAGTCTGCATTGTTATGTAGTTAAGCTTATCTTTTTCTCTGTCAGTTAGCTAGACAGAAAAATAAATGTGTCGTGTTTTGTGAGCTGAGCTCGATTGATTGAAATGATTGATTGGCTGGAAAGAAGCATGATGGGTAGGCTCTGGATCTGTCCATAAATGGGAGGGCTGTCTCTAACTCTCACTTCTTTTGTTCGGCTCTTTATGGTCCGATAACTCTTTTATTGCCTTTGTCTTTTTTTCTGTGTAATCATGTGTCGCCACATCGCCTGCGGAGTCATCTTCTTGGTGTTTGTGCTTTTTTTCGACGACCTTCTAAACATTTTCATCCTGTTTGTTTTGTTTTTCATCATTCTTCACTTCACTTCCAGATCATAGCAGATCAGCCTCAGCTCGTCCATTCTCAATCTGCACCTTTCTTCTGTCCTTTAGATCTACGTCTTCAATGAAAAGATAGTAAATGGCCATCTTCAGCCAAACCTGGGAGATCTGTGTGCCTCTGTGGCCGAAAGTCTGGATGATAAGGTTTGTAACACTCAGTTTGTGTGTGTGTTCCTGAATGTGTTCAGAAAAATGAGGGAGTGATTGCTTTAATAGAGATTGTGTAAAGTTGTTTGTGCATGCATTTGTAGAACGTGTCAGAAATGTGGCTCATGGTGAAGCAGATGACAGACGTCCTGCTGGTGCCAGCAAAAGACACTCTGAAGAGTCGAGTGTCTGTGGACATGCAGATGGCCTTCGTCAGACAAGCCCTGCAGTTCCTGGAGAACAGGTGAGATGGTTGATGCATAACATTTTGTTATTTATTATGATGCTTATATTTTTTGCATTATTGGGATTGGGAACTCGGAAGCTCAAAACGCAATGGAGCTACACTATGTGTCAGTGCGCTGCCTTTGTACAAATTTTTGTACCATTATCTTATAGTTCTTATATTATCTTATAGAATAGTTCCAGATTTGCCCTTGGTACTGACTGATCTAATGTATATGCACACATGTATTATTGTAAAGCATCTAATAGAAAATATTAATTTAAAAGAGATATATGTGAGGGGTGTACTTATTTAGGCTAAGCACTGTATATATCATATCTGAACTATTTAATTGGCTTAGTTTTCTACTTATGAATTATGATTTGAGTGATTTTATAATGAGTCAGCCAAACATCTTTTCATATCAACATAACCACTGTTAAGCCTTCCTTACAATAAAACGTTATTAAAATATGAAATTTTAAAGACTACTAAACAAGATTTGTACACCGAGAACACTACTGTTTTAAGAATTGTATACCTGGGGAGAAGTTATTTATCATTATATAGAAATAAAAAAGTATATCTAATGTTTTAATGTAGTATTTATTTTTCTATTAAATTATAAAGTTGTTATTGTAATGTAATAAGGTTTTATGTTTATTAATCTTTCCATGAAATAGCCATACATTGCTGGTTTTGCAATAAATAAACAAACAAACAAAATCTATATACAGTTGAAGTCAAAATTAGTAGCTAAAGAATAAACCACTGTTATACAATGACTTGCCTAATTACTGTATGTTGCACAGTTAACCCAATTAACTAATTTAATTTAAATTGCACTTTAAGCTGAATACTAGTGTCTTGACAAAATATCTAGTAAAATATTATTTACTGTCATCATGGCAAAGATAAAATAAATCAGTCATTAGAAATGAATTATTAAAACTATTGTTTAGAAATGTGTTGAAAAAATCTGATTTCCTTCATACAGAAATTGGGGAAAAATATATAAGGGGTAATAATCCAGGAGACTTCAACTGTATATAATTCTGTATATTTCTATATTAAAAGTAATGTAGATGAACTGGTCTGAAAGTTTGTGAACCCGGTGTCTGCTTAATCCAGTTGAAAAACGAACTGCTTGTCTCTCTCTTCTACAGCTATAAAAATTACACCCTGGTCACTGTGTTTGGGAATCTGCATCAGGCTCAGCTGGGTGGAGTGCCTGGGACTTATCAGCTCGTATGCAGCTTCCTGAACATCAAGCTGCCGACGCCGCTGCCAGGCATGCAGGTACTGCAGTAAAACGTGCCCTCACCACACTACATCATACAGACTAAACGCCATCACTGCAGATACTCTCGAGTGTGCTTTGCAGCAGTTTAGATAATAGCAGCGGAGTCTCCCTGCATGGGCCAGTAAGCTGCTTATTTCAGACCTGAAAGTAAAAAGGGGGTAAATGAATGTGGTGTGACCCGAGGATAAAGCCTGCTGCGTGTGCACATGTGTAACAGGACGGCGAGGTGGAGGGACATCCGGTGTGGGCTCTGATCTATTTCTGCCTGCGTTGTGGAGATCTGTCTGCCGCCATGCAGGTGGTGAACAAGGCACAGCATCAGCTGGGAGACTTTAAGATCTGGTTCCAAGAATACATGAACAGCCCTGACCGACGGTGAGAACACCCACACACACACACACACATACCCCAAAAACTAGATCACATCCTAAGAGGACTGTTTCTCCTCCATTTTTGGGAACTGCTTCTTTCTCTTGCGTGCTTGACCTAGGTTGCTCCTTTTTTTGTCTTTCATGCATAAGATTACATTGAAGCTGAATAATTAATTAAATCTGAATTTCTGAAATTCTTCTCAGTTTGTCGCCAGCCACAGAGAATAAGCTACGGCTGCATTACCGGCGTGTGCTCAGGAACAGCGCAGACCCTTATAAGCGTGCTGTTTACTGTCTCATCGGCAAATGCGACATCGGCGACAATCATGGGGAGGTGGCTGATAAGACGGAGGATTACCTGTGGCTCAAGGTCAGAAATGATGACTGATTTTGATTTATCATAGTTTAATATAGTTGTTTTTTACATGCAAATACTAGATGATCAATGAAAAAGAGTGTTTTAGAGATGCTAATAAGAAAGGGATTTATACTTGGATTCTTCTTGATTTGAGTAGTTTAAATGGTGCTGTGTGTCCCTACCAGCTGAATCAAGTGTGTTTTGATGAGGACGGCAGCAGTTCCCCTCAGGACCGAATGACTTTGGCACAACTTCAGAAACAGCTGCTTGAAGACTATGGTGAGAGTCACAGTGACTTATATAAATAAGCAGGACATGTATTCATAAAAAAATGTTATTATACATAAATTTTTGGTTGCTAATGTACATATTTATGGCTCAGAGATTAGATATTTCGGTATTTGTGTCATAAATTGTACAAAGATTGTTTTATACATAGAAATTATATTAAATGTAACAAAGTGTTTGTTTTGATAATTCAATCGACTTTTGTGAAAATGTTAAAATATGTGTAAAATAATAATCTTTTTTTAGTGTAACATATATATTTATGTGAAAAATAAAGGATGTTGTTATTTCGACGTGCACATAAGTATGACAAACAAGACTTTGGTATATAAACCAAGGTTAAAATGAATGGCATTTTTATAGGTGTATTTGAGAAAATTATGTTTAATATGTCTGAATATGGTGGCGCAGTGGCGCAGTAGGTAGTGCTCCGGTTTCCCCCACAGTGGTACAGGTGAATTGGGTAGGCTAAATTGTTCATAGTGTATGTGTGTGAATGAGAGTGTATGGGTTTCTCAGTGATGGGTTGCAGCTGGAAGGGCATCCGTTTCGTAAAACATATGCTGGATAAGTTGGCAGTTAATTCCGCTGGGGTGACGGTAGATTAATAAGGGGACTAAACCAAAAAGAAAATGAATAAATTAATATCTGATTATGATTTCACAAAAATGACAGACTCTCAGGAGACTCTTATGTACTGGAAGAAAAATACATTAAAAGCTTTATTACACCTATTGTTTTGATGCTTAAAAACAATATTTTTTGGCTTGTACCCAGCTAATCATCTCGCAAAACAAAAATTAAGAGAATTCAAATTGGTTTACTGTATTTGCCATAAATAGTAGATGTTTTGTATTACATCTAGTTTATAAACTACTGATTCAGCAAGGGTAAATATAATATATTGCATGGTTCAGGATTGGTAGAGCTACACATCGATGAATTGGCTCTTCAGTGTTTGAACTCTCAGTAATGATTAAATCACACTGAACTGAGCTAAACTGAACTGAACTGAACTTAAACACTAAAACCTGAACCACACTGTTCCAGTTACTGAACCACACTGTTCCAGTTACTATGACCATTTATGTGAAGCTGCTTTGACACAATCTACATTGTAAAAGCGCTATACAAATAAAGCTGAATTGAATTGAATTGAATATATTCCATGTTTTAGATCTTAAATACTGGTAAAAATGTATGTGTGTGTGTGTGTGTGTGCGTGTGTGTATGTATATATATATATATATATATATATATATATGCTGTACATAGTTTTACATATAAAACGATTTAAATTATTCCATTAAGTCATCCCAGTTATCTAAAGGAAGAGGTTTAAATGGGCATTTGAAAAACTAGGAAGTAAGTCAGTATGCAAAACCTCCCATTCAGTCTCTGCCAGTGTGTGCCTAGCCCAGATAAAAGTGCATGTCATTGTGCTGTTTTCTCATGGCTTAAACTTCTCCTCGCCCAGTTTTAAAAAGGCATCCGCTTAGTTTCCTCCACCTGCCTGATGAGTCAGTCTTATCTCGCCGGCACTCCTGCAGTACACCACATTAAAGACTCGCTCTTTTGCTGATAAGACTCCTTCACTCCCAGCTGCGCTGCCATTACGCTCCATGCAAAGTCGCAGCGGGTCTTTTCAATGCCGCTTTAAGACGTCAGTTTTAACGGCAATTTAAATGAGAGGGGATTATTTCAACTTGCGCAAATGGAAATGAAACAGCCTATTTAAGCACTTCACAGCCGAGGAAGATTTACATGGAACCTATTACTCGCTTAAAGAAGCATTTAAATTCCTTATGTGACAAATCCGTACTGGCTGCATGTGCCCATTGCCAGTGTGTGCTTTATGTGTGTTCTGTAAGTGGTTTTGCTCATAAAGATGTGTGGCATGAATTGTTTTCTGCAGGTGAGTCCCATTTTTCAGCCAGCCACCAGCCCTTCTTGTACTTCCAAGTGCTTTTCCTGACGGCGCAGTTTGAGGCGGCCATCGCGTTTCTCTTCAGAGTGGAGCGTCTGCGCAGCCATGCCGTTCACGTTGCTCTGGTGCTGTACGAACTCAAACTCCTGCTCAAATCATCAGGACAGAGCGCTCAACTCTGTAAGTTGTGACTATTGAGCGTTAAGTGAGAACTTAAAAATTTATCTTGTTTGTAATATTTTTTCTGATCTTTTTTTTTAAGTGAGTCAAGAAGCTGGAGATCCTCCAATGGTGCGACGGCTAAACTTCATCAGGCTGCTTATGTTGTACACACGCAAATTTGAGTCCACTGATCCGCGAGAAGCCCTGCAGTACTTCTACTTTCTCCGGTAATGGGCATTCTATACTTAAGGGTCACAAAACCTTTGTTTTTCAGTTTAGGTCTATCTCAGAATGAAAAAGCTATTTACATAGGTTTGGAAAGTTGTAAGCAGAAGGAAGAGAAGTGAGGGTGATGGGGAAAAGCTGGAGAAAAAGAACACAGCAAACAACTGTCGTTTGTCTTTCATACTGTCATAATGACTTAAAAATTTGCTTAGCAGCGCTCAATGTACAATGGGAAATGCTGATATAGTCACATTTGTTTACAATTCAGTACAAATTTGTAGAATTTAGTATGTCTATTGGCATTAGAGCAGTAATAAGGCCAACAATTTAGGCCATAGCCTGACAGAATTCGGCCCGAGCCTGACAAGTACATTTTGATTTACAGCTTTTTAAAAGTTTAACATTATTCAAATGTGCACATGCACACAGCTCTTTTACCTTTTTTTCAAGAATGAGTCGTTTATTTGTGTTTTAACATCATTTATTCATAAC